CCGGGGCTGAATTCGGGGCCGCGATTTCCTCGAAGCGTTTTCTTTCGCTGCCTCCTTTCGCAGGCCATCGATTTTCCCCGGGAGAGGGAAAGGGAAAGAAAACTGTAGGTACTTTAAACGATTTACCGCGATTGACAAGGGCTCTATTTTTGTTGTGCACTGAAGGATTCTTTCCAAATTTTGAAGCTATTGTTTGGACGATTTAAATTCTTTAAGAAACTTTGAAAACGTTATAACCGTTATAAACGTTATAACCGCAAAACGTTAGGAACATTTCTGGAAGATCATTGTAAATGCTTCAGTCTTCTCTCGTTTACGTTTTCAAGTCTTGAGGTTTTGAATCGTCATCATATTTCTTATAATTTTTTCGTGTATCATGAGAAGTGGATTCTGAGGAGAAAGATTTGAGGGAAGAGAGTACTATATCCGCGAACGGATGTTTCACGACATGTAAATAAGATAAGAAATATATTAGAACACAAACAAGAAAAAGAGAAAAAGTATATGGAAGAAAATGTTAGAAGAATGTTAATCAAAGGGAGAATATTTGCTTCTCTTCTAGAATATTTAGTTTTTATCACGTCAAATTTTTAACTTGTAATAACGGTTTACCAGATATTGTAATAACGGTTTACGTTCCCTTCTCCCAAATTTTTAACTTGTAATAACGGTTTACCAGATATTGTAATAACGGTTTACGTTCCCTTCTCCCTCAAAGTAAAGAAAATTGTTAAAATGAACCAGAATGGAAATTATGCATATTTGTTTTATTCGATCTGGATTTTTAATTTACCGTGCGTATGTGTATTAAGTTTCCTGTAATTTATATTTTCTTATGCATACAATAGGCAATGTCATTACCTCTGAATGCTCGAACGAATTATATTTGTTCGCTTGTATAATATCTTTGTAAATTAATTGCCTTTTAAAGAAAATATATAATTATTCATGAACGAAACCGGAGGAAAACAATGCCAGAAGTTGGAAAGGTTGGAGATACTGAATATTTACAAGGTGTGTATATTAAATAACTTCTCTTTAAATATTAAAAAAATATATTTATACTAAAATTAGTGTATGATGCGACCTTTTTATCTTGCAAGCAAGTTGAGTAGAGTAGCAAATAAAGTTACATGTAACTACGTTGTTGAAGATTAATTTTAAATATTAGTAGTAAAACTACTTCACCTCGCAATTGCTTTCTGAAGATTTTGGATCTGAACCAAACCGCTAATTGTAAGACTTTTTGACTAACACTGATTGAATCATCTCTGCTTATCAACACGTTGCCAAAATTATGACCTGTGAGCCAGCGATAGAGTGAATACAAACGAAGTCACCTGTGTAAAAAAGTCACATATTACTTAAAATCTATCTGATTTAGAAAAAAATCGTCTTATTTCGAGGCGATGGACTTTCGAACTCGACGTACGACTATTGACCTTCGTTAGACTATTTTTGGACCATCACAGGCAACGACATTCTACCATTAATTGCTATAAAAGTCCATCTATAATTCTAAATTTGAAAAAAGAAACGAATTAGTGTGCACGTAATTGGTCGAACTGTAAGTTTGGATTTAGATTTATTTAATAAAAAAAAAAACAGTGAAAACTGTATGTGACGAATGGTGGAGAAGATCATCTGCGCACGTTTTCTTGAGTTCCAGATTCCCTTCCCATCATTTTAACTACAAATAGTTTACGGATGAGTAAAAGTTAACAATAAATAAATATAAAATTTAAAAAGTGCAATATTAGCAACTGAAAAACTAGAAATTTTCATTCCCGGGTTAAAGAAAACGTGTTTGCATCGGTAAACGAATTACAAGAATGATTTTGCTAACAAAATAGTAACTCGCCCTTACCTGTACTCGCGTCGTGAAGCTACATTTACGTCCAGAAGCAAAACAAGTGGCCATCCCAGCATTTACTCAATGCATCAGGGACATTGAACGAAAACCTCAGCGAGATGGGGGTTATTGACCCGGAAATTGAAGGGCATTATTAATTACAAGCATATTAAGTATTTAAAAAAAGAATACATATGTAAACTAATTTAGAATAGATCATTGTTTCCTTAAAATAAACATTAATTTTCTTTTAAATGATCAGTAGTAGGTATCAGAAGTGGTAGGTAATTCAAGTGATAGAAGAACAAGCACCTATAATTAAAACTTGCTGATCTAATACTCAGCGTTGACATGAGCACATACGCAAATATCCCTAATAGCTCAAACCATTCAATAATGGCTAATTCTGTTTGTTTGTTTTTTAACCAAAAATATTTTAGCGATATTCTTTTAACATACTCCTTGGTGACCATTCCTCCAATCACCTTTTTAAACACATATTTGCACTGTACATAATAAAACACTGCTACGAACAGTGATAAAATTCCGTTGCAGCATTCACAATAGAAAAAAGTGAACGTGAGCCTTTTTGGCCCGCAATTGTCAGGAGTCCTGTGAAAGGCAAAGTACTTGAAACGACAGGAGAAGCTACAGCTGTGATTAAGATTCCTCCGGAGGCGGAGAGGGCGTGACCGGGAGAATGCCTGGAGTTGTACAGGAGATTCGAAGATTACGCGCAAGACGGAGTGGCCCTGGCGACCATGGCGTGCCAAATGATCACATGAATAATGCAGCCGCCAGGCGGCGCGCGCGCTGCACGGTGTGTCGCCCTTGTAAACGGACGTGAACGGACGTGTGAGCCGCGGGAAGGCCGAGTTGTATAGGAGCGCCCAGTTGGACTCTCGCCGGAATCCGGCCGTACAGCTCTATTCGCTCTCTCCATTCCGAATGAAAGCGCGTTAATATACTTTTCTTTTCTTTTTTTTGTTGACAATGGCAACGAAACGATCGATCATTCTAATAATTGCCTTTTCGTGTTGTGTTTTTAGCTCGCTGGCTCGGCCGCAGTCTCAAATTGAGGAATCATGTGAGAAAATTCAATCAAGTTTAGAATTCAAGGAACCGATGCAAAGTATATGATAAATTTCTATTGTTTATAAAAGTTCACTAGACATTCTTGACATAAATTACAGAAAAGTGTCAAACAACGTATTATGAAGGAAGAATGTATACGATATATTTTAAAGCTAATAAATGTCTATAAATGAATTATAAACTTAACTCTGACATATGACATAGAAATATAAACTTAATTATTAACGAAAGAATTGAGCTATCCCATAGTGCTCCAACCTTTAGAACAGTTTCCAATGTGTATTGTAATATATCAGTACTTTCATACAATTATTAACATTAATTGTAAGTATTAAGTGTTATTATTATTATTATTATTATTATTATTTTCGTTAGAAGATTTGTGATATTATTATTATTATTATTTTGTTATTGTTATTAATATTTTTGTTTATACTGATCTACCGATGAGGATGTTGGTAATGAATTAGTAATGCAGTTTACTTAAATATTTATTTTCATTTCAATCAGCTGTTATTGATGGCATTCCCGTCATAATCAAGTCTGTCAAAATCTTGCATTTATTATTTGTTTATGTAAATATCATTCTTATTATTTTACTTTTCGTTGCGTAATCCGAACATTTACGACTATCAAAGAACCGATTAACATAATACTCCGTAAAATATTAAAGTAAACTTTTATGTAGTTGATAATTCCGTAATTAGAAATTCTCATCTAGTGCTATAATGGTTGCATCTCGTTTGATCGTAATCGCCAAAGGCAGAGAGACACTAACATCACACGGAACGTACATATGTTGCTGTCTCGACAGCATTGGTAATCATTTATTCCTTAAGACGGATTAGCCATAGTCATGTTTAGGTCGAAGATGTGGGATCTAAGAACGTGTGCCGCAAAGGGAATAACCACGTCATTGGAAATGTCAAGGTGTTTGGAGCCAAACAGAATAGGTAATGTCGTTAAACGATCGTAGTTGCGAATATTGTCTGTAACTGGAGACATATATGACGTGCTTCATTCGGTATACAATGTTTTCACTACTCATTTTTGATTTCCGTTCCGGCACCATTCCGGCTCTCATATGCCTTCATGCATACCTATGTTTTACTTACACCTTCCTATTGTTTACATGAACTACATATTTTGACTCTTCTGTCTCTATCTGCTTTTCTAGAACCTGTGTGTAATTCACAATTTGCGTCTTACAATGACCCGAGTTTTGTAAATGAGTTTGTCAAATGAAAATTGCGATTGTCAACTCAAAATTCTGTGGCGTCACAGACACGCACAATCGCGGCAGCGCATTGGCGGCGCTCGTGTGAAGACCGCCAAGTAAACCAATGCTTAGCTAGCAGGAGCGCTGCTATGTGGCTCCGTGTGAAGGCGCTTGTTCTGCGAAGGCTGTTGCTTAGTGGCCGGTGGCGCGTTGTGTTGCAGGCCCGTCGACGGCGCTGCCGATGAACCCGCTGCTGACGGCGCTGATCGCGACGGCGGCGGCGCTGCTGGCTGCCGTGTGCGCGGCGCTGGTGGCCCTGTACCGCCGTCACCAGCACCACCGCCGGCCCGCGCCGCGCGCCAAACGCCAAGCTTGGCGGCGGGCCGCGGCGGCCCGGCGGCGGCGGGGTGGCGGCGGCGGGCGGCGGCGGCGCGGGGCGGCGGCGGCGCCGGCGGCCGGGGGCGGCGGGCCGCTGGCGGCGGCGGCGCCGGGGGCGGCGGCGGCGGGCGGCGCGCGGCGCAGGGCTCGGCACGCCCGGCCTGCCCCACGCGGGCGGCGGCGGGCCCGCGGGAAGACGCGGCCGACGCCGTGGGGCCCGGCGCCGTGCGCCCTCGGGCTGCCCCCCGGCGCCCGCCTGCTCGGCGCCCCGCGGCCCGGCGCCGCCGCGCCGCCAGCCCGCAGGACCCTGCGCCCGCGCCCGCCCGAGGACGCCGACCCCGACGTCATCCCCAACAAATACGGTGAGCCCCACTCTGCTACTAGGACAGTGGCCAGCGCCTTGCCCCTACCCCTTGTGACGTAATAAATAATAAAAAATAAGCATTGCGCTTAAACCTTGTTTCTATTTTTTCTACTCCCATTGTATAGTACCGTCATTTCATGGCTGCCACCCGTTGCATACTGAGACTCATTACGACACAGACTTCATTATGATACAGGTTCTCGACCAGTCACAAAGAAGTTTACAAACAAAGTTCTGACACTTAATTAATCATTGAGAATCGTTCTAGTAAATGTTTCGTTCGATTGTGTTCATTAAAATTGGATTTAATAGTAAATTATTCTTGGAAGTTTTAATTTTTTTATTAGTATTATTTTTTTATTTATGTAATAATAACATATATTTAATTTATGAAATATTATTTCAAATAAATTGGTTCGTAATTTCACTTTGATATTATTTGACTAGCGCAGTGGTAAACAAAACTCACCTGCGGCTGGGTAGAGTAGAGAGCTGTCAGCTAGGTGTCTTTGGCTGAATCCTGCATGCCACGAAAGGATTCGAAGTAAAACATTTAACTTACAAATGTTACCATAAGTCGTAGAAAACGTATCGTAAGAAACTCGATGTAACGGGTTCCTCGTTTGTATCGTAATACCACACTCGTGCATTAATGCGCATCATTACATCATCGTTTCGTAATGTACTATTTGTTTCACATTTTAGACTACTCACTGTGAGGTTGCAGGTAATCTGCGCACGTCAGGTCGCAAACTCCGACGCCTATACCGACGTCGACGTCATCTCTACTTTTAAGGTCACCCTCCACTCATTCTCGAATTGCCTGTGGTCTCTCTTTTTCCCCACATTTGTGACAATAGGCCGTTTCATCAGGGTATTGGGAAGTGAATGTGTTGTCGTTACCACGGTGTGGAGACTGTAGAGAGGGGATGTAATACAGCTAAATAAATTACCTCCATTACAGTACTACCATTCGTACCGTTCGACATCACGTGGGCTACCGTGAGAAATTTGCACAAAATTGCCACTCCCTTAGTTTGGGCCGATATATAACGTAGTATGTAACATATTACGACAAACCATTAGAATCTAAAGTCTACAAATCTATAATCTGTGTAAAAGTAAGCAAAAAAATGCCCAGCCCATGTGATGTGATTGAGTATTAATATTGCATCAGAAATTTTAGAGACGTAAGCTCCCTACTTCGACTGTTTAAGCTACTAACGGCCAGCACGCTCGAATTGTTGCTAATCACGGAGGGCCGGCGGCTGCTGTCATGACTGTCCTGCAAATGTAGGTCAGGTGGGGTGTAAGATGTGCAGTTCATAACGCCGACTAATTCTATTTGCCAGTCGTGTTACGTGAGCGCCGGGAAATGATAAAGGGATCACATCACGTTCCGTTCCATTGTCGGAGATCTCGAAATGTCTGGTGCTGCAGTACCGGGAGCGATGGCATAAATGGGAAATTATTTAGAAAGAGGTAAAAAGAAAAATCTGTTAATTGTGATGAATTAAAAACTGGTTTCTTGTTTCCACATATAAATAAAGAAAGAAATACACTTATAAGGGCATTAAGTCGTTTTCACAGTTACTCGGAATTATCGAAATTTTCAAATTTTTTTCCGGGTCTTCCTACATCTACAAAATTGAAGATAGAGATTTTCCTTCAAATGAAATAGGTTTTTCATAATTAGTTCTTTCATTAAGGTCAGGTACATTTTTTAAAAACTTTTAGTGCTTTTCGCGCAATATTGTGTGCAGTATGTGCAATTTTAAAAAATTATAAAAACAAAATTTTCTCAAAAGCGGCCCCAAATTTTCTTTAATATGAACTCTTTAAAATGAACTGATTTTTCGACACCACTTAGCGTAAAATTCTTTGTGTAATAGTGACAAACTAGGTTATAATAGGAAAGATATGTACTTTAAAATGTTTGCCCTTTGCCATGTGACAAACATAACTGTCCGCGAAAAAATTGAACAATCGCAACAAAACTGAATGAATAGCAATGGGTTTGTGTAAGCATCAGAACTTTTTTATAATCTGCAAAGCATTCATTTAAAGTTTGCATTGTGAGGGGTTGGCGAAGTGTAATTGTACGTAAAAAAGAACAGAATTTGAAAGGTTGAACGAAGAGGACTGGCTGTCTGCATTTATACAGTCCTTTCTGCGTCTTCCAATCCGTTCCAAACGCTATTCTACCTGACTCATAAATTCATAGAACCGCTGAGAATCGCGCGAAGCTATTCCTTTTCCATTTGTCACCGTAGATATATAACTTCCGAGAGAGACGTATTCTTTGTTCCTCAATTGAACGAAAATCATGTTAAAAATACTTCTAGTGCTAAAATACAGCGTTACAATTCTCATGAGAATAAAAAATTTAAATAAGGTTTCAACATGACATCGCAGACCGTTGCCTTGTTCGAGCGAAGTTAAACATCGGCTGTTGAAGGCACATGGGGAAGGCGGGGGGAGGGGGGGGGGGCGTTTTCAAAGATCCCTTCCGACGCGCTTGCCACGTTGTGCATGGGGCTGCAGGGAACATAGCTCCCTCAGCACGAACTGGCGGCAACGTGTCGGAACAGGTGACGCAAGCCCCGAGACGCCGCCCAGGTTTGGCGGGGGCAGCGGGGATTCGGAGGGAGCGGGGAGAGCCCAGCCACGGCCCGAGACGGAGGAAGGGCAGAGCGGGGAAAAGGGAGGACAGGCCAGGAAGGGGAGAAGATAAACGGGACGGTGACATCGAATGGGGCGGGGACTACAGGACGACGGCGCGGGGCGCAAGAAACGTCTAGAGACGAACGAGAGGGTTTCGACAGGACGGAGCCTGCGACACAGGATTGGGACAGTACGGGCGGGGACGACACGAAATGGATTCGGGATAGCAACATGGACGGCGCGAGGAAAGATAGATTGAGGAGAGGAGCCAGAAGCAGGGGGTCAGGGGCGGAGGAGCACAGGGCAGATGAGACAGCTGGGAGTTGAGCGGGGCGGGGCGGGGGAGGGGGCGGGGCCGAGTGGAGAGGGAAGGAAACTGGAACGGAGGCGGATATAACGACGCCGCAGTTAGGGCAGTATCGCTCAGTAGCAAGTAGATCAGCATCGTGCGGGGCGATGCCGGTTCGGTATTGGCACGGCCTGGGACAGGATATCCGAAACACTAATTTCCTTGATCCCCTTACATTTCTTATATACTTTGCTCAAATCCTTGTAATTCGTCACTATTCAGTCTTTTCCTAGCGTGAGAACTAAATAAAATGTCTGATAAAACCGTGATATTCATCTAGGGTTCAAATTTCCAAATTCCTCGTTATGTTTTTTTGAATTATTCCGAAATGACCCTGTCCAAGGAAGGAAAGTGTGATCAGATGAAAACGGGCATTACACCATGTTGTTCCTGTTCTAATCCATGCTCTCATTCTTAAAATGCCTTAAATTCTATTTCTGCGGGGAATATGTTTACTACCGCAGCAACACTAGTATCAGCTGATCAGTAACGGAAAAGTTTAAAATTCCAGCAACATAAAAAATTTGGTTTGCACAACCATCAGTCTGGACATAATTCAAAATGAAAAAAGCACATGTTTTACGTAAGGATAGAATTTAATTTTGAAATATTTTATGTATACAGAATGATAGAGCGCATACGAAACAACGAAAGGATGTCACACTCATTTTTGGTCACGAGGGAACATAATACGATGTGAAAGGACACTCCTCATATATTAACAAATATTTCTAACGTGGATCTAATATAAGCTGCTCAAAAGTAAGTTCAAAATATGCTGTTATTAACCTTCCCCCTCGTTTGTTTATTTAACGCTTCTGGGCATTTTGTCTTCTCCTTGAAAGTGAACGTGCCTAACTTGTTACAACATTTAAGTTGCAATGTTAATGTTATGGCTTCAGGCCGAAATATGTATGTTAGGAGTAGCTCGTTATTTCGGACACTATCCAGGCGATTTGGATAAAGCTGCTTGAATGACGACATACGGATCATTTCTTTCTTCATCCGACTATTTCCCCACAGGGTATAGGAAGGGTAACGTGATTGTTCGAGTGGGAGGCAACTTATGAAATTCTTCACAGACTCAATGTTGTTTTATGAAAATGGCGAAAATCGAAGCCATGTCGTAAATTCCGCAATGCCCAGCAAAGCATTACCTGAGGTACTAATTTGAATATTTTATTCGTAAAACTCATTTGAAAAATATGTTTCTAATGGAAATAGTATAATAATATTACTGAAAAAACACCAGAATTTCAATTAATATAAAAGTGAAGTACAAACAAAAAGGTTCTTACATCAATTCTTACAGTGATGTTGTGTTATGTTTTTGTAAATATCTTAGTAATGTTTATAATATTTATAATAGGTAGTGATGTTAGTAAATATGTATGTATGTTTATGTTAGGCGCTATTATGTAAATAAAAATGTCCTACTGCCATAATAGAACTCGCAACAATTAGCGGACTGGTTCCTGTTTATCATATCTGCCATTTCTCGTTACTGTAACTAACCTAATCACCTCGTGTTGATTAATGTGCCCATCAGCCGGCTTATATGTTCTTGGAAGCTCTAACTGCGGACTTAATTCTCCCATTTTATTTTCTCGTATACGTGCGTATATACGGAGTAATATACGTAGTATAGAGAAAGTTATGTACAGCTGCGTAAAATCGATTTCAAGATTTCAAAGGAAATACACGCTCTCGAGTCCCCTCATTCCGACGTGTTTTTTTTCCTTTTGTTGTTGTTTTTTTAACCGCTGTCTGCCTGTCTGTTCGTTCGTCTGTCGTCTGCGAAAGCCACTAGCACCTAAACCACACGTCAGATTTTTTTCCAAAATGGATATTCCCCGATCGATCTGGCTCGACTCAAGAAGTTGCGATTTTGAAAAACTTTGTTCGTAAATTTGAGAGTACTTTACATCAAACCCTGAGTTTCAAAATTTTATCGAAAACGTGTACAATTTCTTCTAAAAATTT